CCCCATTTTTAGCGACGCTCCAAGTATCAACAGCCGTGTGCACGCCCAAGTTTCTGATTCATACGATCAGAGTTGGTATATACTCCCAGGCAGTACCGAGTTCGCCTTTCCACAACTGGGGACGGGGCCAGGGCAACAGCTGGGGGGCGTGGTTTTCAACTATGTTATGGGCGCCATCATGAAAATCGTGCAGGCCCGTATTCTTGAATACGGCATCGATGTTCGTTTCCTGGTGAGTGATCTCCGTTCCCTGGGGCCAGACGTGGAGGAAGACGCCGCATGCATGGGGCACTCTATGGATCTTTCGTTTTTCGATGATGCTATGTTTATGTTCCTCGGGAAAGCACAGACCCTGCTCAGGTTCGCTCCCTTCATTGCAGCCACCATCTTTGATACCTTTGCTGAAAGAGGCATGAGGCTTCACACGGCTAAGGGCAAGAGTGCGTTGTTATTTCAGTTTCGAGGAGTAGGTTCAGTCAAGGCCAAGTCTGATCTCTGGAGAACAGCCCAAGGTAAGATTTTAGTTCCCACCCGTCATCTTGGAGATATTACGCTGCACGCGGTCCGCCAGTATACTCACTTGGGTACTGTTCTGGACGAAGCGGGGGCCTTGGGCCCCGAGCTGGCCCACAGAAGTCATTCATGCACGGCTTCTTGGAAAGTCTTACGGCGTGTTCTGCGGGATCCTCAATTAGATAAGCAGGTGGGCCTCATCCTCGTGGACTCTCTCATGTGCTCCAGCAGGCTTTTCAACGCTGGCACGTGGCCAGCACTTTCAGAAGCGCAGCTAGCGACCTTGTCAGACGAGGTCGTGCGTATGTACCGCGCGGTGTTCCACAGGCCAAGGAAGGACCAAACAGCCATGCCGAACTCCCACATCCTTGCCCAAGCTAAGAGGCCAGACGCCAATACGGCGATTCGTGCCCACAGGTTGAGATTGTTTGGAAGGCTTCTACATGCTGGCCCCAGTCACCTGGTGGGGCTTGCCAGGCTTTGTCTGGAGGAAGGGCGGGGGACTTGGATGCATCAGGTTTTGGAGGACCTGGAGTGGTTGCGACACCGTCATCACCGATTGCGCAAGTGCCCCCCACCCGCAGACAACTTACCCATGTGGGAAGCCCTGGTCCGAAAATCTGCTTTGGGATGGAAGACCATCGTTTCTGCGGGAGTGGCTTCTCAGGTTGCTTACGACTCCCGTATTGCAGAAGCTGATAGGGCCGAACGGGATATCTTTCAGGACCTCTACGAATCAGGAGTTCCCAAGCCGGTGGACCACCCAGAGCATCCGCTACGCGTGCAGGAAGCAGAGGAGGCTCCCAGATTCTCTTGTATGTGGTGCTCGGCTATCTCGCCTTCCCCTACTGGCCTCAAGCAACACATCGTTCGTCAACATCGGTCTTTTATCGATCAGGTTCGCTCGACGCTCGGACCGACTTCGAGGTGCTCTATGTGTAAAATGAAGTTCGCCAGTCGTCGAGCGTTATCGGAACACCTGGCCTTCGACGCTCCTCGGTGCGCAGTCGCTCTTCTTGCCCAACCTCGTTCTACTTCGGCGGAGGAATGTGCTCGGCTCAACGAAGAGGACACCGAGGCAGCATCAAAGCAGCGTGCAGCAGGAAAAGGACGTTGGCGCCCTGAGTTCCCCGCCTTCCGTCAGCCAGGACCATCGACCCCCATCGAGCTCGAGCTGGCTACCATATCTGAGGAGGATGCGCGTGAAGCCCTGATCGAGTCCGATTTTGCATTCACACCTGAGGCCGCCCAGGAGTACATCAGTTTGTCTAGACCTAGGCCCAAGGCGGCCCCTCTGCAGCTTGATGATAGGTTCTGGCCCTTTCGGCCTCAGGACTTCTCTGGGATTGCGGCCGCTGAGCTGCCATTTCGGATTAAACGGCCCGAGTTTTTCGTTTTAAACTTGTTCTCGGGCATGAGACGTACAGGAGACATTCAGTGGCATCTTGAATTCGAATGGCCAGCCTCGACGTGCGCTGTTTACTGTCTGTCGATAGATGTCGCGATCGATGCGAGGAGAGGCGACCTCACCCAGCACGATGTCATAGAAGAGTGGGTAGGCCATGTTGCTGCCCGCAGAGTTTTGAACACAGGGGGGGGGGGCCCATGCGAGACTTGGAGCGCGGCTAGGTGGTACGACGGAGGGCCCCCCCCCTTACGCACGAATGAGCATTTCTGGGGCGTCCCGTGGTGTACGGTTCGCCAGAGCCTCCAGCTTTCAATAGGGGCCCAACTTTTAGCTGCGTTAGCTCGCCTCCTCGCCGCGCACATGAAAGCGGGCACCAACGGATGGATGGAGCATCCGCTTCCAGCCACCTGGATCCCTGGTGCCCCGACTTCTTTCAGATGGAAGCCCCTCGTTGCCATCGTTTCAGCTCCCCATGCTTGTGCGGTTGATTTTGACCAGTGCGAGCACATGCCGCCCGAAACTGACTGGACTTCTGTCGGGCGTGCCCCCACCCGTCTTATCGGCCTCCGTCTCCCCTCCCTCCGCTCCCACCTCCTCGCCACCCCTGGTAGTGGAAGGTGCTCCCACGGCAGAGGAGTGCACAGCACGCTCCTGGGCAAAAGGGAGAATGGCGATTTCAGGACGGCTGCTAAGAAGACGTACTCTAGCGGGTTGTCCAAGGCAATTGCTTCTGCTGTTATAGACAGCCTTACAGCTTTAGTTGTGCCACATGAGTCTGTTGAGGAGGCCGATTTCAGTTTTGGAGCCGACCCTGAGGAGCTGAGAGCTGGATTAATGGCTTTCTACGTTCCCTGGTCGAATGATTTGGACTCCAGATTTTGTGCCGCTCCCGACTTCGCTCGCAGATCTGGGTCGTCGTCGTGTCGATCCTGAGTTGGAGCGTTTCGGGTGTGAGCCTTCCCAGAGGAATTGAGATCCCTCGATCGCCACCTCGGGAGAGTCCCCAGCCCCTGGGCCGGATGAGCAACATACTGATCCGTGGGAGGAGGACCCCGAGGCAGAGGCTGTTGAGGAACAAACGCACATTGACCTCATGTGTGCTGAGGCAGTGAATTTTACTGCCTCGTCTGGGCTTTCCCTTTCTTCTCCTCCTCCTCCTCCCCCCCCCCTCACCGAGGTTCAGCTCGAGCGAATTCGAGCGAATCGAGAGCAGGCGCGGGAGCGCAGGCAGGCCAGGCTACGGGCCGCCCACGCCGCCCGCGCGCCGTGGGCCGCTCAAGGCGGTGTACTTCGAGGCGGGATCTTCTCTTCCGCCTCCACCTCCCACCCTCTTGGGGTTCTTGGGTGGGAGTCTGATCTGCCTTTTTAGGCTCTGTCCGTGGTTTCAGTGGCGTAGCTTTAGATTCCTCTTTGGTCTCGTGTGCTGCTGCTGCTGTTGCCTGGCAAAGAGTCACGGAGTGCGCACGCGCGAAGCCCCTCGGCTAACAACAACCTCCTCCCTCCTTCTCCTCCTCCTCCTCCTCCTCCTCCTCCTCCTCCTCCTCCCTCCTCCTCCTCCTCCTCTCCTCCTCCCTCCTTCTCCTCCTCCTCCTCCTCCTCCGCCTTCTACTCCTCCTCCTCCCCCCCCTCCTCCTCTATGAACTCGACGCACCACGCGCACGGATCGTGCCCCGCAGGGAGCTCCATCCGCGGCCCCAGTGGGCAAGTTTGCGTGCCGCCCCCCCGCCCAGTTCGGCACGCCCCCGTAGGAGATCCACCTGCGGCCCAAATGGGCAAGCTCTCATGCCACCCCACGCCCATTTCGGCACATGCGGCCCCAATGGGCAAGTCCGCATGCCCGCCCCGCTGGTCCAATTCGGAACATCCCTCAACGGACTGCTTTGGATCCACGAGATTTGTATTCATAGCCAGGTTGTAACATTGGCCACGTCGCGCCGAGACAGACTCAGAACGAAACACATCGAATGGCCTTCCTCTTGACCCTGGTGACCCGCAACACACAATCCGTCATTTCACGAGCTGGCCGCACTCTACACTGAAAGCGGGGGAGGGGGGCGTGACCCATAGCAACGAGGACCAAGCCTTGCCGACCTAGACAGATCCGTCCATCCCTGGGAGGAGGGAGGATCCTTCCCTGGCAGGGAAAAGGAATATGGGTAACACGAATGCATGAACGGGGATGGACAGTCACTTGAACAGAAGGGCCAAACTGTATTACGTATCATGGTTCCACGATCACGATGGAGGCACACAGCCCCTTTTCCCAAGAGGTCTAGATCTTCCTCTCCGATTCGATCTCATGGGACCCTGGCCTGCTCTCTCCCCTTCCCATTCTCTTGTCTTCCCTCCACCCCTGCATAAATCCAGACTTGCGATTTCGTTCTTTTCTGTTCACGCAGACCCTAGGAACCCTCGACCCAATCCCCGATCTCAAATTTTCGTCGCGGATTGAATCTTAAATTTCCCGGGGCCCTAAGGCGGCCGCCATGCGCCGAAATCGAAAGAAACAACAAGTTGTGGTTTTTGTCGCGACCCCGTCGATAAAATCTTTCCCGCGACGTCTCTCTTCGGGCGGGCTACAACCAAGATCGAGAGGCGAGTCCAGCCGTTGCGACGAGATCCCAAATTCCCTCCCTCAGGTCGCCTGGGGGTCTCCGTCGAGGTCCCCCCAAACCCTGGGAGGCCCTTGGAGGTCGCCAGAGGCCTTCGGAAACTCCCGAGCTTCTTCCGAAACCTCGGTCCTCATCCATCCCCGACCCAACAGCATTCGAACTCCCCCTCTGGAAGAGAACAACAACTGCATAAACGTAAACTTTTGGCGCTCCGCGCGGATTTCTTGGATCTGCGCTGGACCCCCTCCCTGGCGCGCGGAGCGCGCCAGGGGCGGCGTCGGAGGCGCCTCCGGGGGGCCCCAGCGCGGATCCAAGAAACCCGCGCGGATTGGCGTTTTCTCTTCTTCGATCCTCCTCCCCCCCTCTCGCCCCTTCCGTCCCTCGACCCCTGGGGGGGGGGGTCTGCCGCCGCTCCGCTCCCCTCGCTACGCAGGCGCCGCCCGCGGGTCCCCGAGGGGGCGGGCGGCCTTGAACTCGATCATCCAGGCGGACAGGACGCGCAGCAGCAGGTTCTGCCCAGGGGGGCCGCGGGGCCGCGGGGCGAGCACCGGAGCCGCGCGCGCCCCGCTCGGGCGGGGGCCCGCCCGTGGCCCCTCGGGGCACGGCGCGGAGGCCGCGCCCCTCGCGGCACGGGAAGCTGGCCGACGCTCACCGGGCGCCGGGGGCCAAAAACCTTGGGCCCCGTCGGGTTCGGGGGGGGGGGATGGGGGGGGGCGGGGCGGGGCGCTCCCTCCCGTCTCCCCTCGCCTCTCGAGGAGACGTAGGACTCGGGTTCGGGGGACTCGGGTTGGTCTGACAGGGCCATCATGATGATGACGAGACCCAGTCTGAAATTTGACGCGAGCTCCCACTGCACACATCCCACGAAATCTGGACCGTCAAAATCCAGGATGAGCTCGTCAAAAAGCGCTTGAAAACCCGAGTTCCAGCGTACTCGAGTCTTACGTTTCCCCGATCCTCCCCCTTTCCTGCTCCCCCTCTGCAAGGGCACACCAACTCCTGGCAGGAGGCCCGTGGGTGGGGGTCCAGGAACTGGCCCAAGGATCTACTCCAAGGGAGCGCTCTGCCTACAATTTCGAGGCAGATCCAGCCGTGGTGGCGAGAACTCCCTCAGAGGCTCAAAAAGAGTACCCAACGACCGAAGACCTCGGCACTCGAAGTTCGACCCTCGAAGAGCCTCGAATGCCCGCCCCCCCCCCCCCGGCAGCCCCCTGGCAACCCCTCGAACGTCCAATCGCGCCCCGAACCGGCCAAATGCGTCCGCAGACGGAGGGCTCGACCACTGCCGTGCGGCCCAGACCGCGAAGCGCCGACCCGTCTTCGCGAAGTTGTGGGTGATACCCGCCAGCGTGCCCCGAGTCACGAAGTGCTACAGTCAAAACTGATAGTAAGGATGCAAGCTCCTCGGAAGCCCGTGTCGAAGCTTTTCGAGCGGGGCTTGCCATCAAAGTTGTGAAGGATGGGCCGAAGTGGCAAGGATGCAGGGGTACCCTTGGGAAGGTCAGTACCGCCTCGCCAAGCAGGACAGCGACGTCTCGGTCGAGCTGGCCAGGGCGCAGGGGGTACAAGCAGAGGAGCGGCTCCGCCAGTCCATCGACAGGTGCGAGCGGGTGGAACAGCTCCTGGTCGACGCGCAGGCCGAGGTCGAGCATGACGCCAAGACCCTGGATGAGGCCAAAGCCAGGTACCAGTCGGCAGTCCGCAGCTTGCACACCATCGTCATCGTCCCTGGGCCTGAGGCACGAGGACACCCCAAGCTGGACCTGTCCAAGATCTTGGACGGGGCCAAATTCGTGCTGGACGACGGGGGGCTCTTCGGCTCGGAGCAGCTGGGCGACGTGGTGGTGGAGGTGGACCGCAGGGAGGCGGCGCGCCGACGCGAGGTGCTGCAGGAACAGTTCAAGCAGGCTGCGTATTTGCTGTTCGGCGACCTCCGCACCAAGGCCTCGGCGATCGAGCGGGAGCGGAAGGCCCAGGCCAAGAGGCTTGCGGCGAAGCGGGCCCGCACGGCGGTCCCCGAGGCCGCGACAGCCGAGGCCACGGGCGCTGCAGCAGAGGGCGAAGCCGCAGAGCACAAGCCCAAGTCCACGCCTAAGGCCGCCAGCGCCACCATCCAGGCGGCGAAGGCCAAGCTTGACGCCAAGAAGGGTGCTGCGAACGGCGGTGAGGAGCCACCGCCGCGGGGGTAGCAGCACAAAGCACAACTTCGACTCACGGGATCGACATCCAGTTTTGCGGGTTACTCCGTCGAGTGCCTGGTGGATGAGGTCACCCGATTTTGAACAAGGCTGGGTAGCTGGTGGTTGGGATGGTACCTGTAATGACCATGGGCCACGTGGCAGCCAGTCATCATACAGTGCTACAGAGCATGTCCCTACACGGGGTGCTGACCAAATCAAATTTGACTGCAACCATGATCAGGGCAGAGACTACGGTACTGCCGACATCCACAACGGGGAGTTCGAGCTGCTGAGGAGATGGATCGCCAACCCTGAACCTGAAGGCGAGCCGCCGCCAACTGTGCCACCAAGCAGTCGGCGAGGAGGCCGCAGGGCGCGGGCCAGCCGAGCTCGTCGAGGGCAGGTGGAGGCTCAGGCGAGGCGCCGCCCTCACCTATCAGACGGTGGCGAAGGTGCTGCAGACGTCCGTGCCGAGGGTGGCCTACCTCGGCAGCCGACTGTGCCGTGGGCCCCGCAGGAGCTCCCCGCCTGTCGGCGGCAGGGAGCGGCCGAGCCTGAGGCGCCCTGCCTGCGGCGAGCTCGCCAAGTCCATGGAGTTCAACGTGCGGACCCTCAAGCCTGCGCCCTCTGGGGCGCTGCAGTCACGGACATCAAGTGTAGTTGCCTGCATAGGCTTAGTGTTGCAGAAGTAGGTTCGTTGCGCCCTGTCAAGAGTATGGCCTCGGTTGGCGTTAGTCGCTACTCTTCCAGGGCTGGCCAGAAGATGGACCCCCAGGCCATCGTCCACAAGGAAGTGGTCCTCCTCTGGGCCCAAGCCAGGAGGGAGGGACGGCCGAGTGTAAGCAGTATGCAGCATGTCCTAGAGTCGGTGTACGATGAGCTCGCCCGGCGTAAGTTCTCGTGGGGAGCTGCCCGATCGCCTGTCCATGGTTTTGTTTTCAACCTCATGGACCTCGGCTGGTGTTTCGTCAATCCTAAGTCACGCAGGTCCGAGACTGGGATGCCAATAGATCTGCTCGCGCTGGCCCCCATACAGGTTGGGTGGCTTGCTCAGCGGGCCTTGCACTTCCGCTCGAGTAATGTGGCCCTCCAGGCTCGGTCAGGGTCCCAGAGCTGGTCCAGGCCCGTCAGGTGGAAGCCTCTCCTGAGTCTCCTGGATGGGCCTAAGGAGGCCGCGGGTCCCTCGGCCTTCTGGGACCCACACAGGCAGAAAACTTTAAGGAGCGGTGTATCACGATGCCGATGGCAGCAAGAGAGAACGCACAGGCACGGCTATGCTAGCACGCCCCTCTGCAAGCGAGGTGGAGCGGCCCCAGGTACCCAGCTTCACTGGCGCTTCAAGTGTTGCTTTGTTGACTGTGCTGCCACCTCCAAGGCGGCTAGGTCACCCGAGCCTGCGTGCAGTGCTGCAAGCAGCCGTGCCCACCTTTGGACTCGGGCCTCCCATCTCCACGATGGGGAGCCGCCTACAGTTGTGAAGGTCCGAACGAATTCGTCGTGGGTCGAGGTTGGGCGGGCGCTTTCGACCCCGTTCCACAAGAGAGGCTCGGACGAGGCTGATCACCTAGCGAGGCTCGGGGTGCAATGCCATGCGTCTATGGCCCAGGCTGCGCGGAAGCCCCGCCTGTTCGAATCGGTTGGGCGCCAAGCTGGCCACTGGGCTTGCGAGCATGATGCCTGGAGGGCTGACAGAAGGCGGCGTGATGATGTCGAGCTTGTGGGCCCCGAGGGGGTCTGTCGGGACCTTGCCTTTCCGCAGCAGCTGACCGTGCCGAGAGTTCGTTTCGGGGGCCAGCAGTTCGTCCTTTCGGTTCCGCAGCATCCTGAGTTGGTCGCCCCCATCAATATGCTTGGTCACTCGCTCCGCAGGACCACTGTGTCTGGCCCTGACGGTGAGCGAGTGATTCATGGGGGCACCGTCTGTGTGTGTACTAAGTGCGGGGGTTCCAGATGGGGGGCGGTGAAGGCCCTATGCCGCCCCTGCACCCCGCCCACGGTGGGCCTGAAGAAGCAGTCGAACCGTGTCGTGAAGGGCGTTTTTCCGTCTGGGGCTCCCCAGTATCAAGGGTGGACAATTGGCCCAACGAGGCCAGCCGCCCCAGTGGATGTGGCCATCCTGTCCACCACGTCTTCGGCCGATCTCGCCCTGGGAGGTGGGAGGTGGGGGGCGTGGTCGTCGTTGTCGTGCGGGGAGCGGGGGAGTGGTGGAGTGTGTTGCTCGGTTCGACCTCACGCCCGCACAGCTGGCGCAGGAGGCGGACCGACCCCGCAGAGAGGATGAGGGTTCCAAGGAGGCGAGACGGGCGACCAGGCAGGCCCGCCGCTGACGCCCCTTGGGCTCACCTCCCCCTCCCCCTCTCTTTCTTTCCCCCCGCTGGTGGCGGAAGTGGCTGGCGCCCCCGAGAGCGCCACCCAGCGGGTGGGACACTGGTGGGCTGAGGTGAGTCACTGACCTCCTCCGCCATGGGAAATAGAAATAGAGGAGGAGGAGGAGGAGGAGGAGGAGGAGGAGGAGGAAGAGGAGGAGGAGGAGGAGGAGGAGGAGGAGGAGGAGGAGGAAGCACGAAGTGGAAATCCTCAAGCCCCTTCGAGCTCTTGGGCGCTACTGGGCGGCTGGCGTGACTTTTTCGGAGGCCGTGAAAACGTGGTTGGGATTTTACACTCCCAACATGGCCTAATATGGCTTCCCGGTCGTCCTGGAGCCAACTTGGGCGCATCCTTGGGCCGTTTTGGAAGCACTTGGGACTGGCCCACGAGGGCATACTTATTGGAACACTTTCTTTGCGTGAGCACATTCCTTACGCTCAGGATGGCCCAGGAGGCCCTCAAGATCGCCTCAAGACGGCCTCCAGGGTTCCCCAGGGGCCCCCAAGACGGCTCCCCAAGGGGCCCAACAAGGGGGAGCTCGAATTGACATTTCGAGGCCTTTCCTTCAATCAAGATGGCCCCGATACCGCCAAGAAGCTTCTACAAGACTCGTCAAACATAAATTTACGGTTTTTGTTTTCGGCAGTTGCGCGATCAATGCTGGCATGAAGTGTTTGGCCCGCACGTAGGGGTGTCCGAAATCCAGCAGTGCCCTCACAGCATTGAAGAACGCGTTTCCTGACAAGTACCCGAACTATCGGGCGCTTCGATTTTGAACGGCGTCCCCATATATTTTTAACGAGACTTCTAGGAAAATCCTAAGAGGTCCCCAAGAAACATCCACGAGGCCCACAGAGACCTCCACGAGGCTCCCAAGAGGCCGCCCAAAGGCTGTCAAGAGGCCCCCGAGAGGCCTCCGAAAAGACCTCACCAGGCCTCTACGAGGCCTCTTGTCCACGACCCAT